TCTGCAATATTTATCTTGGGAGGAGGGGGGCACCCCGCACTGTTTGGTTTGTGGGAAGTGTTGGGAAACGGTGACGCTGGTGCAGTGAGAGCAGGCAGGGCTGGCTGTGTGGGGTCAGTGAGGGTGGGAACACCACGACGAGGGATGCTGCAAGAAGAAACCCAGCAGAGGGCTCCAGGCACAGCCCCTGTCACCAAGGTGTGGGAACCAACCTCTTCCATGAGCATTTTAGGGGCAAATGCAGTGAGAAACTTGTGTGTTCAGAAGTCAGCGACAGGGAGGGTGTCAGCAGCACACTTCCATGGAAAATTGCTGGGAACTGGTTTGGAATTTTTAGATATACAGGCAAGCAACTTAATTATCAGCTTTTATAGGCATGTTTTGAATTTGGTAAGCCAAAAAATAGCCCCTAGAGAATATTGCCAGACCAGAAAGACTGGAACCATCACTTGATTTGGTAACTTTTTGGTTTCCAGTAGTGGTCAGAGGGAGAAGAATCTTGAACAGGAGGTGGTGGGGCTGCTTCCAGCTGGAGCTGTGTAGTGCTGAGCATCAAAAAGCCCACAGAAGAGCTGATATGGGACATGCAGAGGGCTGAGGCAAGCAGTGCATCTTCTCTCAGCCTGCAAACTGACCACCATGCAGAAAGAGAGTAGAAAGGATCGACTGGTTCTGACACAGCAAAATGACAGCTCTAAGGGATGCCACGGAATCACAGAACCTCAGGGGTTGGAAGAGACCTCTGGAGGTCCAGCAGATACATGGCTGAGACAGCAAACAAGTTCCATTCACTGAGCATCAGGTGCAGGGGGTTGGAGAGGATCCTGAACTCAATCCTGAGCTCAATCCCCAACTCTGGGGGCTGCCTACAGGTTGACCCATTGCATACAGAGCTCCAGGCTGTGCAGAGCCGGGGCCACATCCTGCCAGCGTTGAGTGTTCGCGGCACACTGCCATGCAGTTTGTCTGAGTGTGTTTCCAGCTTCAATATACCCTGTGCAATATGGAACACTTCTTGATTAAAATGACAATCTGCTGCTCTGCAGAGTGTGCCTACAGCATGGAAAAACCTTCCAGTTCAAGCCATTAATTGCTATTGACAGCATGTGGTTAAGAAAACACGAAGGGAAGAAGTGGACGCAGTTGAGTTTTACAGACTTTCAATGCACAATAAAATATTTTATTTAAAAACAATGCATTCAATATCATGTTTTGGCACGAGTCAATGTTGCAGGCACATTCACACCAAACAATAACATTGCTGAGAGATCCAGAATGAATCATCGCGTTTATTTCTCCACAGACGATGGTCACGACGCGGCACTCCGTTACAACAAGAACCAGGCTCCTTGCTTACAAATGTGACGACGTATTTACATGCACCACGCACTGTGAAGGCCACATCCGTCCCTCTGGGACAAAGCTGGTCCCATTCTGGTTGCCCTGAGGCCAACAGGGACCTGAGGGGAGCAGTGATTCTGCTCGGGACACATTTCACAGCGTGTGCAGCCTTGCATGCCTTTCACCTGAGACATTACTCTGGCCCTTTATCAACACCAGCCTTTTAAAAATAAATAATGCTTTCAGTATGGCCATTAAATAACGAACCCTTTATTACAATTATGGCATTTTAAATTTTTTTTATATTTTTTAATTTTTTTTTAGTATTTGTCTTTTTATTGGAAACAACTCCATGAGGCATTGAACTGTATAGCCACTAGAATAAAGACACATTCATTTACAGAAAACCTGCTTTCTAAATGGTTTGTTTTTGCAATCTCCATTCACAGTTAGTCATATTTCACAAATACTTTTTGGTATACTCCACAATTCAAACCGGAAGCCAAAACATCTGTGTTTTTCTTAATGTATCCTACTGTGTCCTAATGTATTCACTGAATAGATACAAGCAAATAAAGTACCAAACAAGCATGTAAAGAGAAGGAAAGGTAGCACACCTATCCCCATTCTATGTACACCTCCTCTTTCCATTCTCTGCCTGATGGCCCCATTCCAGCACCACCACCACCGTATCCCCATGTCCCTGCAGTGCCATCACCCCATGGCTGCCATCAGGAGCTCTTTGCCCAGAGCTCCTCCTGACTTTGTAAACTGAAAGGTTCTGTACTTGCAAGTATTGATCACGCTGCATTACGTGTGCTTTCATTTAGCTATATTTGTTTGTCTAGACATTCAGCAATAATAGTGAATATTTTCCCTGAACCATCATGAATTCATTTAGATAGACAGCGACGGGAAGGTTTTGGACCGAGCAAAAGGGAAGGAAGAGTCTAGCCAACATGCTAGCAAATGCAGAGGGGATTTGCTGTCCTAAACACAAGGGCTGCATCTGGCAGCTCCTGCAGCAGAGAGCCACGCTGCTGGGCAGGAGCACGCTTTCTTTTTTAAGAAAAACACTATTTCCTACCCTGAAAAGACACTGATTTAAGGAGTGTCTGTTTTTCATTCCTTTCCTTGTCTGCACTTTTGGGTTGTCATCTCTATGAGACGCAACCCAACTCCTCCGACCTCCTCTTGGATGCAGGTGCCAGCACCTCATCTCCAGCAGCACAATCTGGATGGCTCCTAGGGGCTGAGGGACACCAGGCAAAGTACTGAGACCCCAACCTGGGGGTCTGCACAGAACCCAGCCTCGGAGCGGGGCTTGGGAATGAAGCCCAACCAGCACAACTGCCCTTCCCTTCAGACTCCAGAGAAAAGCAGAATTCAAAGAGATCTAAGAAAACAGGCAGAAACAAAGGATGCATAATTTAAAGATGGTTTTCCACATTGCAACAGCTCTGACAAAAAATATTGATACTAAGAAGCAATTTACTTTGGGCTGTATTGTGCCATTGATTTCGGGGCAGAACTCCCCATTAAAATCAATGATTCTGAAATGTTCAATGTGGTTCTAAAAAATCAATGGGGAGTTTTGCTTAAAAATCAATGATATAATATGGCCCTTTGTCAATAATTTTTCTGTGTTCCCATTTCCAAATATTTGCAGCCGTTTCCATGCTTCCTTCTCCACACCCTGCACTTCTACGCAACTCAGTGGCGATGGCCATGCATTGGGACTGGCACTAACACCTCTGCCCTGAGAGCAGAACCCCAGGACTGCCTCACGATCCTCTGCCTTGGGCCTTGCATCACAACTGGGAGCAATCTACAGGAGTGCCCCATTTGCCCTACTAAGGGGGGTGGATCAAAGCCCGTGCACATAAAAGCTTCCCATTCTGGTGTTCTCAACAACGTAGGTGCACTCGGTGGTGCAGCCACACATGCTGGAGTCCATGCAACTTCTCTGATCTCAACAGAGAATCACAGAATCGCAAGGGTTGGAAGGAGATCATAAAATCACAGAATCATAGAATGGTTTGGGTTGGAAGGAACCTTTAAGATCACATAGTTCCAACCTTCTGCTACAGGCAGAGACACCTCCCACCACACCAGGTTGCTCACAGCCCCATCCAGCCTGGCCTTGAGCGTTTCCAGGGATGGGACATTCACAATCTCCTTGGACAACCTGTTCCAGTGTCTCACCACCTTTACAGTAAAGAATTCCTTCCTAAAATGTAGTCTAAATCTACCCTCTTCCAGTTTAAAGCCATTGCCCCTTTTTCTGTCACTGCCTGTCCTTGTAAAAAGTCCCTCTCCGGCATTCTCATAGGCCCCTCGATCCAGTTCAACCCCCAAGAAAAAATGGCTGGGGACAGCACCACTAGGAGAACACAGATTCATGAGCTGGCCTCCCTAGCCTTATTGAGATTAGGAAACAAGTTTACTTTAAAGAAAAAAAAAAAGGAAAAAAGAAAAACTGAAGAACAATCTTGGAGCAATTTTTGGTTTCAGCATGTAATTTTTAATGATTATCTTCCAACACGGGTGCTCTAGAGCAGTCATTTTGAATGGACAGAAGATAAGTGCTGTCAGGACAGACGGACGGATGGACACCCTTACGTCTACATTAAAGTTGTTGTACCATGTAAACAACACACAGTAGCCAAGCGCCACTCAGAGCCAAAAAACTGTACAGAGTGCATCAGCATCCACATTCAAGCAAATATAATGATAACTGTCCATATTTCTATAATTTGCTAATAGAGATGATCACTCCCTGCATAAAATTGATAGCCTGCCTTCTAACAAAAACACCTGCCATTAAGAAGGGGTCCCAGACCACAGCCTCTCTGTCCCCAGGACTCCCTTCTTCACACTGCCATAAACTGCAAAGCTATCCGGGACTTAGCCAGCATGCATCTGCAGTACAGCTCAACGGCAAATTGCACTGGAAATGATTAATCACTGTACATCATTAACAACTGGCACAGAACCTTCCCTTCCCCGTGCAGTTTCTGCTTTTGGGTGTGTTCCGGCACCCAGGGAACGATGTCTGGCAGGGATGGGTGCTCTGAACACAGATAATCAACAGCAATATTAGCAATAAAGCACATGGCACCGCACGGCACAGCTCTGGCATTGCTGCACAGCGACGTCTCCATGAGGACGTTTGCCACAAGTCATGCTCTGCTGTATGAGCAGTGACGAGCACAGGCACTGGGGCAAGCCAGAAGTGCCCGAGGTCTCACGAGGGACTGTGCTCTGGGAAGGGAACTTTGCAGCCATCAGCATCCTGAGCAGCGTGCCTGAAGGTGTGGGCGCCAGGCTGGCGGTGCCAAAGAGCATCCGAGCCCCCTCGCAGCTCCGATGCCAAAGTAAAAGCCAGAAAATAAATAAAACAAGGAAGTACAGGGCGTTTTCAAAATGGCTTTAAAAATTCTCATATTTACAGGCAGTGCAGAGGGATGAGGTTTCCCTCCCTGCTGGAATACACCCAATTTGATCGCGTGCCAGGTGCAGCCACTTATCCCCTAAAGTGTGGGTGCTGTGCACTAAAATGTGCACTGTTAAGGTATGGTTTTGAATTGCCTTTTGCATCGTCTTTCCATGAATAGTCAGTTCTCAGCATCATACAGAGTAATATAAAAATGTTAAAATACTTTGAAGCATACTCTTTTTAATAAGAAAAAACAGTTGCTTTACAGACTCCTTTATCCTGAGACAACATGGCCAAGATTCTCAAATACAAGAAACCCTATGATTTGTCCTTTTTGCAACCAGCCTGACCTTCAAAGGTATCTAGAAAGCTCCATCTCCTCAAACATCTGTTCCTGACCAGAACACGAGACCACCTATTCAGCTGTCTGACCATGAACTCGGTGATGTAAACTGGGACCCTGAAAATCATATCTCCTGCTCTCCACATACCCACTGTGCTTACTTCCCTCTCGAGGCCATTTCTCAGAAACTGGGCTGCCCTGACCTCACTCCATCTCCCCCTCGGGCTGGTGGGGGGACATTTTCCTGTACAGTTAACTGGGATGGGAATCACTCACCCCATCCCCCACCCCCCCTGCAGCATACAGCACTGACACACACAGGGGGCTGGGGAACCAAGTACAAGCCATATTTTGACCTTCTCCATTGTTGTTCTTAAAAAAACGTTAAATTCAGTAAGTACGAAAATATGCAAGCAGTGGAAATGGAGTTCCACACTGAGGAACTTGTAAATGACAAAGAGCTGGGGCTCGGGGTGGCTCTACCAATTGGCCACGGCAAATCCATGTGTGCTGAGCAACTCACAGCAACATGTACGAGAAAAGTAATGCCTTATGAAAGCAGAGTTCCTAATCCTAATCTGAAAGGAACAACCGAAATAAGATGTTTACAGGCATGTAGTGGGATGCTGAAATATGAAAAGATTTTAAAACATATTTCATAGCATATATATAAAAGCAAAATACTTCAGCTTCACTGGTGCTGCTGCTTGAATAGCATCCACAGAATTTGATAAGTGCTTCTGCAGTTTCTGCGTTGCTAAATGTGCTGAGACCCTTTGATGAACAATGGCAAGGGTGATTGAAAAGCATCTGCATATTATGGAAAATATTTTAGGGTGGATTTTTTTTTTTTTTTTTTTTTTTTTTTTTTTTTTTTAGAATTGTATCTGAAGAGCATTTAACTCAGATTTGGGCACTTTTTTAGACAATCATTTGGCACTTCAAGATTTAGGTGTTTAGGCACAATGCGACAAGGTCAGTTTGGCCAGTCCTTCACCGTGCATCCTGTAGAGCAGCTGGAACTCTGCAGGCAGCTGGTGGGACTCTTGCCACTTGGTGGTGAACTTGGTTCCTTTCTTGTCGTAGTAGTGGTACGGGAGGTCCTCCCTTGTGTTGGGATCAAACCCGAAGGGCCAGAATCCATACAAGTGAATCTCTTCACATATGGCAGAAGCAAGGGTATACATGAGAATACCTGTGCTCAGCCGTTTGGGTGACAAGTGTTTGTTTTTCCAGTATCTGTGAAAAAAAAACAAAGGCAAATTATTATAGGATACAAGTAACATCGTGGGCCTGTTGTAAGAAAAAATATGATTACAGTATGGAGACCACCAAAAATGCTATAGCATGGAGAACATCAGTGTTCACAGCTGATAACTGGAGTAAGGCAAGGATTGCTGTTCAGGTCAGTCTGTAAAGAAGAGAAATGCCTAAACATTCTCTTTCAAGGTCTGCTTTTGGTTTTTCACCCAGAAAAACAGTACCTTATCCGGAAAAGCAAATCCCATGACTCCTGGTGAAGTGTATTTTCTAGAGAGGTGGCAATGTTACCCATACATGAATTGCAATAGATTTGCCTAGATCACTCTGCAGATGTCTGCTGGCACCCTATTTGCTAGCTGAGAGCAAGTTCTTCTGTAAGTGGTTCTTTTCTTGTGCAGAATCTCACTCAACTCCTCCGCACTCCTTCTGCCTCTGCAGAAGCCGCTGTGGGAACAGTTGAACAGTCCCATGATGGCACAGACCCTGGAGCACTTACTGAAGCAATGACAGAACTGCATGAGCTCTGAAAGCAAACAGCGCCAGGTCCTGACTGGCCAGGGAGTTAAGGCAAGACTAGGAAAACAAAAACCATTGGGTTCACATAGGGAGAAATACATACTTTGACAAGCTAAATGCGAGAGAAAAATACACACCTGTTAACATGCTGCATTATATTTCCTGGCCAAGCCAACTGGACCTTTAGTTGGCCTCGATGCTCAACAAAGAAGTCAACCAGTGTTCTAGTGACCGTTGCTGACGTGTGGAAGAAGAAAGCAGGGATCCAAAGAATCGCCCCATCAAGCTTTTTTAAGCTCAGAAAGAAGTTGTTGCGATCCTGAATGGTCAAGAGATTGTTGTAATACTTCTCCAGTATGCTGGGGTTGAAGGTTGTGAGATTGGTTTTCCTTCCAACATCTTTTTGGAATGCCTCAGTTGGAGCAAAATTGCAGCGAAAAACGAAATCAGACTTATCTATTTCTTGCCCACACTGACTCCCAGTCAGGATTCCACTGTTTCCAACCACGGCACAAACGTTGTAATGTTTATTTAAGATCGGTGACACATCTGGAAGCAGTGATCTGAAGTTATTGCTTATGGAAAAAACATACTTATGGCTGGAATAATCATAATGCATCAGCTGTCCAATCCGAACACTATTCTTGGTCAAAGAAAAATTTTTTATGACATCGACATGCTGAAGGATTTCTTGTCTGAAATAAAATAGAAAAAGAAAAGAAAAAAAAAAAGAAAACATTGAGATGCATTTCCCCTTTGTCTGTGTTAGAGACTTGTTTCCAGATAGACTTAAGTTTTCCTTTCTAAAATGTTATATAGCCTTTTACTGAGCAATGCAGTGCAACAGAATTAAAATCAATATAAACAGATAGCAATGAGAGAGCTCTCAGTACTGGACCATGGATCTAAGGTAATGATGGACACTGTGTTTGCCATAAGATATCTGAAGCAAAACTAAGAAGTCCAGAACATCCCATTGAATTAACAGTAATATAGCTGATTTCTTAAATGCAAATATTCCTTCTGTGTTCATCAGGAAGCTTTTAGTCATGGAACAAGTGACAGTCACTGTCTCCCTTTATGTAAACATAGGTCCTTAATGTCTTATTAGAGCAAACATGCTGACATTTTTGCAAAGGTTATTCGGAATACTTTAAAAAAAAACAAAAACAAAAAAAAAAACAAAAAACAAAACAAAACAAAAACAAGCAGAACTAACCTTGCTCAGGAATTTCCCCAGCAGAGCATAAAATTAGAAAACCAATACCACTTTATTTGCTCATGTTTATGGAAAACAACCTTTCTTCCAACTCACATCCTCCAGTATCTAAGCATTAATGGAGTCCCATTGGGTCCCCTAATTATGGGTTATGGATGACAGACAAATGCAGCAGCAGATCCTGAGGCATTAGCTCATACCAACAGCAGGGTGACAGTTATTTATTAAGGATGAGGTGGTGGTGCCAGGAATGAGGCCATACTGATGAGTGGCCACAGTTGCACCAGCCAGGGAGACCCCAAAGAAAGGATGGAGCAGGCAAGAAGCCATCTCATCTCGATGGCCTGCAGCTGCTGATGGGCTCCTGAAATGGGGCATGTGGGCAGAGACATAATGCGCCCTCTAAAATGGCAAGCATTCATCAATATGAAACCAAGATGTTGTAGTCCAAGATGGTTGTAGTCATCTTAAATGGCTAAAGGATTTCTGTTTCTTTCACGACTTTACTGCTGTATATAAACATACTGCAGTAAAGCCATTAAATAAAAGAGGCAGGGCAGGCATCACATCGTAATGAAGAAAATAAAAATCCATCTTGTTTCACATTAAGCTTTGAGGAAGCTTAAGGAAACATGAAGGTCTCTGCATTGCCACAATGCAATATGGCCATGAACCTGTGAACAGCAAGCAGAAGTCAATGTGCAGTGAAGACATTTCAGGGTAGTCTGGGCTCTTGGTGTCCCCACTGAATTGCCTTCTGCCCAATCCACAGCCAGAGTGGAGCTGGAAGCCACACTGTACTTAGAATTGCTGGACATGTTTTGCCCTCCATACGCATAGCACTTCATGGCTGCTACAGTCTGATTTGCTTTGAGTTTTAATCAACCAGCTATTTATCTTGAAGGAATGACAATTTCTCCTGCACTCTGAGAAACTGGGTCACTCCGTTTGGTAAAAGCATGTGTGCTGCAGCTTGGTGTTCTGCTCTGAATTCATCAATTCTTCCAAGATAGCTGTTACCATCTTGGGAAATGCTCTGATTCAGCCTTTGTCTCTCACTGTTGGCAAATTACTCAGAATCCAGAGTATTTAGCAGTCCCTAATTGTATTTTCTCAAATATTCAGGGGGAGGGGATAACTCTTGGGAAGATGATGACAGGGGGACAAGTGGGAAGAGCTGCACGCTCACCTCTGCTGTGCGAACGCTGTCCGGTTAAATACCCACTTGGACGGCTTCTCCTGCAGCTCCTGGCCCAGCGAATTTGTAATGGGGACGAACGAGGGATCAAGGAACTTCAGCGCGAACTGGGACCTAAACGTGTGCGCACAGACTCACATGGACACGGAAACACACAAACACGGACACACGGACACACGAACACGGACACACGAGCACGGACACACACACAGGCCGCGCTCTGTCTCCAGCTGAGAAAGGCCGGCGTCAGCACCACGGACAGCGTCGGAGGAGACGCGCCGCTTCCCGCGGGCCGGGCTGAGCCGAGCCGGGCCGAGCCGATCCGAGCCGAACCGGGCTGCGCTGAGCTATGCAGGGCTGAGCCAAGCCGTGCCGAGCCGTGCCGTGCCCACTTTACAGCAGCCCCTAAGCACCGAGGTTCTCACGCCCGGCCCGGGGGTCCCACGGAACTGGGGCCGCCCGCTTCCCGTAGGCCGCCGAGTGCTGGGAGCAGCGCGGTGAGAGAGGAGCCATCTCCGGGGCCGCGGGGCCTTCCGGGGGCTTTCCCACCGAGCGCTTTAGGGCTTTCCCGGTGCCAGTCCAAGAGCGGGTGGGGGCGGCCCCCTGCCCCCGCGTCGTGCCGGGCCGTGGCGGCCATCCGGAACCGCGCCCTCACCTGAATCCCGCGTGGAACATGTACATGCGGGGCCCCCCCGGGCCGGCGGCGCGGGGCGCGCCGAAGATGTTGTCCTTCTTGAGCGAGACGTAGCTGATGAGAGAGAGGATGAGCAGAGCGATGCTGAGCATCACCAGCCCCAGCACGCTGGCCACCCGCACCATCTTGCAGCTCCTCATGCCGGGAGGCGGCCCCGCGGCTGGGCGTGTGCGGCGGAGCTGCCGCGGGGCTGCATGCGGGGGCGGCGGGCGCGGAGGCGGCGGGGACGGGGACGGGGCCGACACCGCCGGCAGCCGGCAAGAAAATGGAGGGAGCGGGCGGCGGCGCGCTGAAATGGCAGCCGGCAACCGTCCCCCCCCCCCCCCTCGTGTCCCGGCCCCGGCGGCCCCGGCAGCGCCACCGAGCACCCCCCCGGCAGGCACGGCGCACGCCCGGCAGACCTGGGGACGTCCCCCGGTGCGCCTTTCCCGGTCCGGTTTCCTTCCCAGCGGCCTCAGGTTGCAACCCCAAAACGGTCCTGGGGTTCCTCGCGGTGTCCCCAGACAGTCCCAAGGACTCCGCAGCGGGACAGTCCGAGGGTGCAGGCGGGGCTCGGCACCCCGTTTATCTCTACATCCCAGCACGATCTGCAGACCTCATCTGGGTTCCCATTCCTTGCTCTGGGCTATGAGTGATCAGTGGGTCACGGGTGATGAATAGGTGGTGGGCAATGACACCTGGAGGCATTATGGTGCCGCCAGCCCCGTAGTGTCCCCGTGGTGGGGAGGGTCTGAGCGCTGCCACGGAGCTTTTTCCTGTGTCACAGTCTGCTTTTGGTGATGCTGGACCCCCACACAGACCCCTTGTTGTGTAAAAACACGGTGCTTGATGCTATCCAAAGGCCATGATGCTATCCAAAGAGCCCTAGCTGCAACTAAACTGCCTCATAAATCTCACAGCGACTTTCATGTAAACTCCAAGAGAGTCTGACTTCCGTAATCTGAGCAATGCCTCTTACGGACACAGCTTCTGCACAATGCAGTACTTTCAGCGTTTCTTCAAACTGCATTTTTTTTTCTTCCTTATAAAGTTTACCACCATAGACAGCTCTGCCTCTGAGCCCCAAGTTCATAGAAGTGCCTTATAAATAATAAATGCTGTCTTTGTAGCACCATCCTTGCTCTGGGCTATAACCTACAAGCTTTCCATGCATGAGGCTTCCTTTGAAGAGGAGGAACGCAAGGAGCTTGCAGGGTCGAGTATAACGTCACAGCATGGTTCTTCATCTTTCAGTGGGAATTTGGCCTGAGTACGGCCCCCAGGTCTGTATCCCATTCCTATGGAATACATGCAGCTTTGGTGGAGAGAGAAAAGGATGAAAATGCAGGAAATAACGCTGCTTTGATATAGGAGATGATAGGTTTGTTACTTGGCTCCTCACATGACTTCCAGTCAACTTGTCTGCTGCTGTCCTCATAGGGCATGGTGTTGCCAGCCTCAGTCTGCTCAGGTCCTGTCACAAACAATTTCAACTTTTGGATGTTTGGAAATCCACTCTGTAGCACCTAACATTAAGGCTGATGTGGTTCCTGGCCATGTGTACTGGGGCTGGGCATGGACACCTAGAAGCAAGGTTGCACATCTCTCATATTGCACACCTGTCCAGGTCCCAGCCTGAAGAAGGATGATCACCATGGGCTGTAGGAACCTGCAGCTATCTCCATGAGGGCAGCTTTTGAACAGATCAGAGGTTTCTGGTCATGAAGCAGCAGAAGGCTATGTATTGTGCTGCATGGCCTGGTATGATGCTGCAGAGTGATGCAGTGCCATTGGTGGGACTTCAGCCCTTGCACTGACTTTGCACCTTAATCCTATGGAGATTCTCTGGGTGGGATCTGAGAGGTGCGCTGGCAAGAAATGTTTTAAAATCCTATTTTAAAAGTGCTTCATTTTGACCTGGTTTCTCTGGTCCCAGCCCTGATCCCAGGCACAGTGCATGTGAACAAGTTGCAGTAGAAACAAAGGCAGTTTTTGCTTCAGATTCTTCAGAGATAGCAATATGTCAGGAGCCCCTAGAGAGGCTGAAAGTAAATGAATCAGTGCTAGAAAGTGAAGGATATCATCCGCACTGAATGGTGAAGAGGAGTCCTGAACAGTATCTTCATTGATTTTCCTGTAATTGACACAGAATCCCGGCTTGCCTGAGGGCTGCAGCGCAAGGAGCGGGGAGGCCCAGGTACAAGGAGCTGCCTTCCCCAAGCAGACAGAATTTCTCCTCAATTAGGTGGCTGTTTTTTGTAAGAACCTTTGCAAGAGGCAGTGGGTTGGCGAGCTGGTATTTCCATTATTCACAGGGTGTTTTGCAAGCTGCCTGGAGGAAAAAGGAGCAGAGGAGGACGCATCTCTCCCCTGTGCATCACCACTGCTTTGTGCCAGCCTTGCCCTTTCAGGGTTTGAGCTGAATCATTGGCTGCTGATAAATACCTGTTCTTAAGTGAGTGTGCTCCCTGGGAAGCACAACAGTGGCACACAATAGGAAATGTGTAGGAATTACCGTTTTGATTAGATTTGAAGCTCTCCGAGGGAGAATATGCCTTCCCCATAAAATCTCTTCTGTTCATGGCTTCAGTACCTTGGTTCAAGGGGTGAGACAGACAGCTTTCCAGTGGTTGGATAGACAGACACCCTCTGGACAGACAGACATCCTTAAAGAGGCAGATACCTGTGGACCGACACCTCTGAACATGCAAACACCCCTGGACAGACAGGCATCCTTAGATACACAGACATTTTTGGACAGACAGGCTCCCTTGGACACACCAGCACCCCTGGACAGACTGACCTGACCCAGCACACTGGGAAGTTGCATTTTTTGCTGGGGAAAAAGACATGCTCCACCTGCCCATCAGTGATGTGCAATAAACAGAGCCAAACTACAGTCAAGCTTTGCTGGGGTTTGAACACAGGTCGACTGTGACAAATACGAGGCTGGGCACTCCTTAAGCTTAATGTACTGATTAGTACGAAATTTATTTATCTTCTGCTCTATGCACAATGTCAGAAGGTGCTTTAGATAACACCTGCTTTCGTGGCGGCTGCATCTGACTGTGGAAAAGGGCATCTTCCGTCTGTAAACTGTGGGGTGAAACAGCTTCTTATTTTTCAGTGTTCAGATACAGGAAAGTGTTTTAATTAATGCTGTGAAAGGCACACAGTGACATCTCAATTGCAGCAACGTGCAGGGACGGATCTCTTCCTTGGAGTGCTTGGTGATAAGGTGTTCATCTGACACTGTCAGTGCAGCTGTTCGTGCTGCCTTCCCAACCTGCAGCTGGCTATAAAAGAGCTCCACTTTATGTAAAAACAGTGAAGCTCCATAGGAAATTCCCAGGAACGTCTTGCCTTGCCTGGTTTTCTTCTCATCATGTTGGCTTTACAAACTCTGTGGACCAGAGCTTGGAAAGAAGAACCCGATTTTAGAATCCGCTCTGCCAAAAAGCTCCGGTGACAGGATGGGAGGTGATGGCCTCGCGTTGTGCCAGGGGAGGGTCAAGGTGGGTATCAGGAAAAATTTATTGTCAGAAAGAGCGCTCAGGCATTGAACAGACTGCCAGGAAGGTGGTGGTGTCACTGCTCCTGGAGCTGTTCAGGGAACACCTTGGGGACATGGGGACATTCCATGTGCTGTGACCTGGTGCAGGAGTGCAGAACTGCAGGGCGTGCCCCAAGAGCTCCAAGTGGAATATTCCTCCAGAGCAGTTTCCAATAACGAAACAAGCAAAATTGCTACAGCAAAACAGCATCAATACTTACCTGGTTGCCAGCAAAGAAACGACATCCAGCAGAGACACATGACAGGAATTTTCCTAATGCTATGAAAGATGTGGAAGAGAAGAAATGCGTTTGAAATAGGGACAAGAATTCAAGCAGTCGAGGAATGAAGAAGCAGGAATGCAGATATGCTACATAAAAGAAATCAGGGCATTGATCTTTTCTTGGGTCCAGCAGAGGAAACACCCAGAGGATCAAACACGTGCTTAGGAATGGTTCCCATTTTTTTACTTATTCATACAAATGGGACATGCTCCTTTTAACTCTACGGGAAAGTTGTGCTTTGAAGATTTGCACACCCTGAAAGGAGCCTTTCCAGGGCTGGCTCACCTCCTTCTTTGCTTTGCCCATGCGTGTGTCCTCCAAGCAGTGAGGGTGTCCTGATCTGACTGGCTGCACCCAGGATAGTTTTAAAATCTCTTTAAAAACAAGCGTCTGTAGCCTGCTGGCGTGTGAAGCTCTATGAATTTATGATCAGAACCATCTCCTTCCTTCCCCACACTCAGCTTTCACTGCTGGCTTGCAGCATCTTCGCTCATTCTGAAAAACCATTCCCCAGGGAAGGAGGGAAAGAGAGAGCCACCTGCGACTCCAATCATGGTGCTGCATCAGTAAGTGTCCCCTCCTAAAGGCCTTCGGCTCTGTGCTGCTTGCAGCAGCCAGGTGAATCCAGCTGCAAACAGGGCTGTGAAGGAGGTGGCACCGGTGGTCAGTGTGTGGGGCCTGAGGGAAGTGGATATCCCAGCATTCTGGTAAGCAGTAGAGAATGTCAAAGATGCCTGAGGTGTGGTGGGCATCTCACAGGCTTTGCCATCTTGGGCTTGGGATGGACACTGAGATCACCACAGTCACGGAGCACAAAGGGAGCAGAGGACTTGAAGAAGAAGGGCCGTATAGTGGCAATAAAAAGTACTGAGGTACTGTAGCGGGGAAAGCAAGAGTAGGCACCATGTGGTCTGCAGGTGATCAGATAAACCTGGATGGACATGGGTGTACTTGGCTGGAGCCAGATTGGATACAGATTGCAAACAAGATTAATATGGCAAGGGGTAATGGCTTCAGGCTGTGCCATGGAAGGCTCAAGTTGGATGTTAGAAACAATTTCTTCTTAGAAAGAGTGGACAAATTCTGGCACAGGTGGCCCCAGGAGGTTGTAGATTCCTTTGGAGGTGTTCAAGAACCATGGAGCTGTGGCATTTGGGCACATGGTCAGTGGGCATGGTGAGGATGTGATGGGGTTGGACTTGGGGATCTTAGAGGTCTTCTCCAGCCTTAACGACTTTGTGGTTTTACTTAGGAACATCACTTATGAGGATGGGTTGCAGTGAAACTTGGGGGTCTTGTAGGTCTTGTCCAACCCTAATGATTTCATGATTCTATGAGCCAGGTTGGAGCTAGGTTGAACCCAGCTGTGCCAGTCTGCATCCAGC